GCATAAGTGATGTTCTCATTGAGTAGAGAACAGTACATTCATGTACCGGCCCTTCTTGCCTTTGATAAAGTCCTTTTTTTTCGAGGCGGGATTTCTTTATGTAGATTTGCAGCCTGTCCTGGAATTCCCCCTTTAGACCAGGCTAGCCTCGAACTCACAGATATCCACCTATCTCTGTCTCCAAGTGCTGGGATTAAAGGCATGTACCACCACTGCCAAACCAGCTAATAAAGTCTTATTAATATTGGCATTTTTATAATGCAGCTGGTGGATGATTGTCTAGAATTACATCTCTCCCATGTCTACTTGTTTAACCATTCTCTCAACAGCCTCAGTTACGAAAGAGAAACTGACTCCACACCAATGGGGGTTGGCATCTTTATGACCCTCTGGAATTTGCAGTCACACTTGGCTCATATTCCTTTCTCATTCTACCAAAGTTTAGATGAGCACATATATAAAATATCCATTCATATATATATATACATATATATATATGTATATACATGTTCACGTCCTTTGGCTATATCTTAAAATTGGAAGAGCTGCCAGTTATATACTGTAGATAGAGTTGGGAAGTAGGTTTGTTCATACCCACAAGTTAAAGTCTTGAATTTTTGTACTTTCGAGTTCACCATTTGCTTTCAGCCACATAAAATGTCAAAGTAATTCCATTTCCATTTTCTTTCTGTAAAATTTGAAATTAAATTATTTCCTGAAGTTAGTCATATGCCTGTGAAATCAGTGACCATCCATTCCTCAGCTGGTGTCTGCTGTGATTGTTTTTTCACAGACATTTATTTTTCTGTAATCTGGATCACTGTGCTGCTGAGCCAGTGTGATCAGTGCCTCTGTGGCTCTTAAATAGAATTCCGTACATGTTTTTACTCTTCGCAGTTAAGGTCTTTTCAGAGTTTTATATCAGAGGATGTCTTCAGATCTAGCACATGAACTAGGATGTTCATGTTGTCTCTAGATTTTTAAAAAAATAATTTATTCAAACATAAAGCAACAACAAAAAGCCCTCTGCAGTCCTGATATCCTGCTTTTTCGTCAATCAGAAAATGCTCATTGTGAACTTCATATCATGGCCTGGAGTGTGATGGTAGTAAATAGAAATCTGAACTGAGGATTACTCAGCGTAGCACGAGTGAGCAGTATACTCTGCGGCTTGGTTAGGTCAAGCTCTGAGCATGGGGCTAATCATTTGCTGTACTTGGTTATACTGCTATGTTTAAACATAGTGTCATTTCTCTCGCTGTTTCCCTTTATTTGTATGGGTGCATTGGGCCCAGAGCACAGACGATAAGACTTTCTAAATTTAAGCACCAGTATTCAACATCTACTAATGAATCTAGACGTTTCCTAGAATAATTCGTATACAATTGTATGCCTCTTATTTAAAGATTTATTTTACATATATATGTATATATGTGTGTGCTTGTGTGTGTGCATATGCATCTGTGTGTATGTGACATGTAAGTACTTGTGAACGCCAGAAGAGGAGGCTGCTAAATACCCTGGAGTTGAAGTTACAGGCAGTTGTGAGCTGCCTGAAGACAATATGGGTTCCAGGAGTAGTTCTTGGATCCTCTGGAAGAGTAGAATGTGCTCTTAATCACATGGCCATCTCTCTAGCCCCTAAACTTCTTTCTTTGTCAGTATTCTTTGTGAGGACCTAGAAGAGAGCAGTTTACTTTCTTTATTAGCTCAGCTGAGGAGGTTGATAAAGTCGAGAAGCAGTGACGAATGTAAAGCAAATTTTAATATAAGCAGTTTTTGTAAATACTATGTTTTGGTTTTTCTTTTCTTTATGAACCTGTTTAGTATAAACTGCGTGACAGGCTACTTTTTTTTTTTAAACAACAGCAACTAATTTCTGTCTTTCCAAAGACTGCTGTAAGTATAGGATAGAGAAGGGATGTGTAGTATTCCTATTAACACAATCTTAATCCTACTCTTTGGGATATTAACCTAGTCTTACACTACAGGGACATTCACATCATTATTAGCTTAGTTTTTATTGCAAAACATCACCCTGTTGACCCAAAAAGGCTTCCACTCGAAGCAGAGGCTCATAACACTTGGCATAATTTTGCTGCGCCTCAATTTCTCCTTTAAGGGTAGTTATTTTCCTTGCTGTGCAATCCACTGCCCACTTCCATCTTCCTCCTTTGAAGCTCAGCCCTTATGAGAGCTCCCAGCCAGCGTTGATTTCCAGCATGAAAGGTACTGTTTGGTCTCTGCTCACTGCAGAGATGACTAATACATCTTTTTGGCTGTGACAGGTCACTTTTTAAGGCAATATAGACCATTGTGTATCATAAGTGCTGAAGAGCTGTCAACTCTTTTGTCAAGTAAAACGTCATCAGAACATGACTGCCTAACCAAGGACTGAAATGAGACTAAAAGACACTATAAAGATCTGGATAGTAAAGCCCTGAGAGCACCCAGCAGTCCCCACCCTCCTGCCCACAGTGCTGCCAGCTGCCTTGGAAGGAAGTACTGTTGCTACAGCTAATCTTAGTCATTATCAACATGACCTCAACTATGAGTAATAAGACTGAGACACTCAGCCTGGCACCGTGGGCACAAACTGTCACTGTAATGGAAGTTTAAAAGCCATAAGATGGTTCTATATAAGAAGCATATGCTTCTGGGATGTGGCTCAGTGGGCAAAGCAAGTGTGAAGATCTAAGTTCAAATCTCCAGAACCCACATGGAAGCTGATCGTGGTGGTATATCTGTAATCCCATTGCTTCTAGAGATGAGAGGTGGAGAGAACAGGTTTCCCAGAAGCTTACAGGCCAACTAGCCTGGTGAATGCAGCAACAAAAAGAAAGGTCCCATCTCAAACAAAGTAGAAGGCAAGGACTGACACCCAAAGTTGTTCTCTGATCTCCTGTATTCTCATTCTTTCTCCCCCTCTCCCTTTCTCCCTCTCTCTCCCTCTCACACACACAGATATATGGTTTCACCCACAGGATACTAATAGATGTAACTTGTTTACGAGATTGTCACCGAGAAGAATAACTCCCAAGGAACATCCTTACAACAAAGAAGATAGAACATTTGTGGAGTTCTGTGTTGTAAAAGAAGAAAAGGGTGCACAGGCAGCAATGATACAGGACCTGGTGGAGTTCTAATGTTGGGATGTAAATAACACATGGTAACCATGAGAGATATCATCTGTGGCATGGGACCTTCCACACAATCATCAGAAGAATGAGCAGAATAATGTAAATGGGGCTAATGACTTTTCTTCACTTTAGATAGGGCTCTGATAAAAGCCAAAGAAATAATTCAACTGGTGTAGCTCAGTGAGCCAGTGAGTCTAATTGGGGTTGTTTATAGGATCCTGAATGAAAGGCTTGCCTATATGAGTATGGGCAACTGAGAGACAGCTGCGCCTGTGAAGAAGAGCCCTTCCCTTCCAGGAAGTAACTTATTTTTGACCTAATCTTGTGAGGGTCTTGTATGAGTAATCACAGCTGCTCTGATTTCAAGATGACGATTTCCATATCACACCTAGAGGACAGAGTTTCACAGCAGAGGGATGGTTCACTACACTGAGGACTGACTAGGAAACACTAGGACTGACTACTACATATGACATACTTTCTTCCTGCTCCATTCATAGGAGCCCTAAGTAGTTATCAGAGTTCTCAAAGCCTCCTATGAGGGAGAATTGATAGAAACTGACAATTTATCCTACCTTCCTTGCTGGAACAGGAATGAAGATCAAGGAAATAAAACGATGTGAGCAACAGCCACCTTTCTGTAGGTAGCTCACAACTTTACTTCCCAGCACAGAAACCCAGAAAGCCTGAAGCAAGATAGCCATGACAGTGCCAGCTGAGAACATGCTCCCAAGGACGAGCAAGTTCTGGCTAGCCATCTCTGCCATCATCTGATTTCTCACCGGATGTGAAGAAATGAACTGGCTAGAAGACTGACACTGCCTGTTCACCAGATAACTTGAAGCATCTGCATTATGGAACCTTTGTTTTCTTTAGATATCTCTTTTTTGGTAATGATAAATATACTTTTTAAGATTAAGTCTACCTTTTCTTATACCTTTAAGGTTATTTCACAGGTGGTCAGGATGAGATTATTAAGGACATCATTTTAAATGTGTGGCCTCAAGAAGCAGCTCCCTGGCCCCCAGATCATGACTGCTTAAGTTTACACTACAGTATTTAGCCTCCTAGTGGGTATAGTTACTTTCTCCATGATATTCAATGCTTGGAATGATCTAAGAAAAACCATTTTGTTACCCCTCTTCTACCTCTGGTGTGTGGCAAAGCATGTTCCATTTATAGCAACTAAAAATTCCAGTGGCTTGGTCCACCCTAGCAGATGACAGCAGGGCTGGTTTGAGGGATGCACTGGGGAAAAAAAGGCTCAGTAGTTCTTCCTCATTCTGAAAATGTTACACTGTTTCTCCACCTCATCCTTCTCTACGAAAAGCCTCAGAAATACGACATGAAGCACAAGCAGGTATTAATTCTGTTCATGGGGTCATATTAACTACTAAATTGTTTAACCCTTCTTGTGACTGAGGGACTTAAATCCACAGTGGTATCACTTCCATACTTTCTGTTCTGCCACATGACTGGCCTTTTCAGAGTTCAACAATGATGTTATTAGTGTTTAAAACTCTAGAATAGGCAATCTGGAAATCTCACTCAGCATCTGCCCAGAGGAGGTAGATGGAGAAGAGGAAGAGAGAAAGCTATGTCTTTTTAAGTTAGGCATGGAAGTTGGGCAAGCAGGCACATGGCAAAAGGGAGGTAGCTTCAGAGTAAAAAAGAATACCGGAGAAAGCATACTGAGACTCTGGCCAGTATCTGAAAGAGAAACCAAAAGGGAAAATGACTTTTCTGAATTGTTCAGAAGACTGGGAAGGTTTAACTCAGCTGCACAGCTGCACCTCTGCAAATGACTGACTGGACAGTTAACCAGGACTGATTCTTTTTATATGTGTCACCCTATTTCAGGGCTCATTGTTGGAGTGATCCTGAGGTATGGCACCCCTGCTACCAGCGGACATGACAAGTCACTCAGCTGTACTCAGGAAGATAGAGCCTTTAGCACCTTATTAGTGAATGTCAGTGGCAAGTTCTTTGAATACACTTTGAAAGGAGAAATCAGCCCTGGCAAGATCAATAATGTGGAGCAGAATGACATGCTGCGGAAGGTGAGCTGGCACCAGGCTGTCTGGGACAAAGTTCCAGATTCCCTGGCTTCATCTTGACCTTTAGGAGAAAAACCCTTTCTAACTGCTGGAACTTCAGTCACATTCCTGGCTCACTGTTTTCTAGGGTAGCTTCCGTGTCAGGATGAGGAGAAGGAAGAGCCAGATTGTAACTTTGTCCCTCAGCGTTCTGACCTTAACTAGCTAGGATCTGTAGATATGGGCTGCTGCTTATGCAACATGTTTGTACATCCCGCTTGCCGTGTTTTCTCTTAACCTTGCTGTGCCTTAGAAAGGAGGCTATCTTTCTTAAAATAATATTAATTTCCTTTTTAGCTTAGTCAGTATTCTGAACTGTAATTCTTAATTCTTCATGGCTCTCTTTACATAGTCTGCAAATATTTGACTGCTTGAACTTATTAGTGACTGATGCCAAAGACTTACCTAATTTTCAAAGGAAGAAAGGCTTGTTTTAGGGAGAATTTAAGTGCAAGCATTGTTTTTCAATTTTAAAAAATCCATTTTTTTTTCTTTTGAGAAAGCCTCTTAAAATGTAGCTCAGGCTGATCTCAAAATCAGTCTTCCTGCCTCAGCCTCCGGAGTGCTAGAATTATAGGCATTCTTCACTATGCCTAGCTTAAACATTGTTTTTCATTTGATTATGGAGTAGCAAAAATGCTTCAAAACAGATTATAAGCCTCTCATATAAGTGATTTCCAGGATAGACAAGAAATCAATATTAAAAGATTTATTCATGTGGTTAGATTAATTGACTTTTATTTCAGTTAATTATTTTAAATATTTAGCCTACCCTTTCTCCCTCCTAAAAAGGTTAGCATGTTTGGAAATGCTTAGTTTCTTTGGCTGTACTATGATTAGCTCTGTAGAAGTTTCAGTGTGAATTCCTTAGATCAACAACTGATTTCAGTCTCTGTAGAGTTACTGAACTTCTGTTGATGATCAGGAAGCTACTGACCTCACTGATAACTTTGTCTAGGCCACATAAAGGATTTCAGAAGACTGTTTCCTCAAAAGAGACTTAAATGTAGTAGAATTGCATCTAGAAAAGAGCGCATTAATAGTCTGGAAGTTAATAAAAACTCAATTGCAATTAAACCTTCATGAATATGTGATAAAAATCAAGATGTTTTTCTTTTCTGTTGAAAAACATTGGCAGCAGCTTTCTGTGAATTCCTGAAATTGCCTCAAACTGTTAGGACTTAATATGTATTAAGATAGAACACTGAAATCTTATTCAGAAGTGCTGGGGGAGGGAGAGAAAGAGAGGAAGAACATACCAGTCAATAGAGAAATTGTGGCTTCACTGCTGTAATGATTTAACACATCGGTGGCTTTTGTTTTAATCAGGCACTTTAGTCAATGGCTTTCAATATTTAATAAATATTTTCAGTTTATCTTAATCTAAATTTTGACTTTTTTTCTTTTTAAAATTTCAGGTAACATTTGATCCAGAGGTATTTTTCAACATTCTGCTGCCTCCAATTATTTTCCATGCTGGATACAGTTTAAAGAAGGTATGAGCATTTTTCCAGTAATTTCTTAAGAGTCTCAGTCTTAATTCACCTAAATAATTTTCTAGTGTTTCCCCTTAAACTCTCAGATTTTTGTGCTCTGTACCCACTCAGAGATCATAGGTGGCTTCATCATCTGTGATTCATCTGTTTGAAAATCTAGAGCTCTTTCATACCACCAGGAATGTAACATGATATAGCCACTTTGGCAAGCAAGGTGATAGTTTCTTGTAAAACTGAAGTCCAAGTTGTCTTAAGGGAACAGCTTCACTGCTGAGGATTTCTTGAAGAGAAAGTAAACTTACATTCACACAAAAACTTACGCTGCATTCTTCATACTATCTTATTTGTAATACAAAAGCAAAAAAACAACTAAAATGCCTTCCTGTGGGTAATGGTTAATTAAACTGTAGTAGATCCATACCATAGAAAAATCTTCAGCGATCACATGGAAAAACTGCTGTATAATCTGGATAGATTTATAAGGCATTCCACTGAGTCAGAAAATCCACATTCAAGGTTATATGCTGTATTACTTTATGTAGCATTACAGGAATGACAGAATTATAGAACTACAGAACAAATTTGTGGTTGCCTGGGATTAGGGATGATGGTAAAGTAGAGTTTGGGGAGAGAGATCACAAGGGATATTTTTGTAGTCATGGAATATTTCTGTGTGTCCAAGGGTGGGGTGCAGAGCCTTTCATACATGCTAGATGAGTGTGATGCTCCAGGTCAGTTCTGAATCTTGACTGGCAGTAGTTATACAATCTGCACATCTGATAAAATTACATTGATATTGTACTAATGATAGTTTCCTGGTTTTAGATACTTTCCTATAGTTACATATGTTACCATCAGTGTAGGAAAGTGGATCAAGGGTACACAAACCCTTTCTATACTGTCTTTGCAACTTCAGTAAATCCATGGTTAGTTCATAAGTAAAAAAAAAAGTTTTAAAGAACTTGACTATCCCCCCTATTGATGATCACTGTACTTGACAGCATCTTAAACCTAAACTACTGTTTATTTGAAAAACCAAGTATGTTTACAAAACATAGGTAGATCTTTCTTTCTCTCTTCCCCCATCCGTCTCTCCCTCCATCACCCCTCTCTCTTTCTCATTGTGGGAGTATTGTGTGAAGATTACCTCCCCAAAGGCCTTCCTAGGGTAATAGCCCATTTCAACTCTAAAGGAAGATTTGAGACAAACCTTCCAGGTCCAGAGAAGAGAGATCTTGGCTGACAGTAAACATAACATCTTTATGAACCTGAAAATAACTTCTAAATGAGGAAACTCTGGATAGATTAATTGGGAAAACTGTATTAGGAACATAAGAGAGGGTATCACTATAGAATATTCCGACATTCAGCTGATAATAAAGGAGTACTCAGAACAGTTTCGTGCCAGGAAATTATATGGGGAGGGAGGAGTTAATCTCAGGTATGATTCAGGCACTGTACACCTCATTATTTTTGAGACAGGGTCTTTTATTGGCCTGAAACTCTGTAAGTAGACTAGACTGTCTGGTTTAGGAGTTCCAGGGACCTGCTTTTTTCAACCTCCTCAGTACCGGGATCACAAGTGTGCACCATCATGCCAACCTTCCTCAAGACCCAGCAATACCACTTCTGGGTATATACCCAAGAGATGTTCAGTCATACCACAGGACATTTGCTCAACTATTTCCAAAGCAGCATAGTTAGCCTAGGGGGAGGGGAGTGGCACACACCTTTAATCCCAGCACTCGGGAGGCAGAGGCAGGTGGATCTCTGTGAGTTCGAGGCCAGCCTGGTCTACAAAAGTTAGTTCTAGGACAGGCTCCAAAGCCACAGAGAAACCCTGTCTCAAAAAATCAAAAAACAAAAAACAAAAACAAACAAACAAACAAACAAAAAAAAAAAAACAAAAAAAACAAACCAGCATTGTCATAGCCACAACTTGGAAACTACCTAAATGCCCCGTGACTGAAGACTGGATAAGGAAACTGTGGTACATTTACACAATGGAGTACTTACACAGCAGAAGAAGAAACCAATGACATCTTGAAATTTGTGGGCAAATGGATGGATCTAGAAAACATCATATTGAGTGAGGTAACCCAGATCCAGAAAGACAAATACCATATGTATTCACTCATAAGTGGCTTTTAGACATAAAGCAAAGAAAACCAGCCTACGATTCACAATCCCAGAGAACCTAGACAACAATGAGGACCCTAAAAGAGACAAACATAGATCTAATCTACATGGGAAGTAGAAAAAGACACGATCTCCTGAGCAAATTGGGAGCGTGGGGACCATGGGAGAGAGTTGAAGGGGAGGGGAGAGGAAAGGAGAGGAGCAGAGAAAAATGTAGAGCTCAAAAAAAAAAAAAAAATGGCTAACATAATCTTTGTTTAATTGTGGGTGTTTGGAGGATTTTTGCTTGTCTATTCCTATTAAGTATTTCTGAATCTCAAATAGAAATTGCCTTTGCCTGTTTTTAAAAGATCTTACAAACAGGTATAACCTGCTCTTCATCAGGAGACCCAATGGACCTGATGAATTGTAAGAAGTGAGCATGTGTGCATATGTGTTTGTGGTGTTCATTTTGAAGCTAACTTTTGAATATGCAGAACCCCATCAGAGGGATATTGTAATTTTGCAACTTTCTGAATAATCACTGCATCTAAACATTGATTATAAGTTTTTCCTATAACAAACATGGCCATCTTGAGTCAAATTCATTACCATTCTCATTTATCCACTCCCAACTCTGTTGTTCATCTATTTCAGGCTCCAAAGAGTAAACCAGATGAATATAACGTGACATCTCAAGTCCAATGAGCGTATATTTAGGAGTCTGCTTTCTGCCATCAAATTAAGTAGAAAGTTTCTCAGATGATACTTTTTCATTTATTTGTTTCAGACTTTTATCTTTAATGACCTTCTTAGATCCCACTAAAGTAGGGAGTACTTGGCAGAACTGTGAAATAAGCTGGCTTTTGTCCAGTCAAAAAAAATTGGTTTACATATATAAACACTCAATTCAGTTCATTATTTTTAGCCTGAATTGTTTTGTCTGAAATTCATCAGGTTCTTGGTAACTTGGTTAGTGATCAATAGTGCAAAGGATATTTTAAAACCACACTGTTTAAGACTGAATAGCATTATTTAGGAGTGACTCCTGATATTGCTAGATGTATAAACCGTGTGACATATTAGGTTTTAGAGGCTTTTAATGTAAAGTTTTTGCTTTATGTTTGATTTTTTATTTGGCTTGCTGCCAATAATTACTATAATTCCTTTTTTTTTTTGTTTTATTCAGAGACACTTTTTCAGAAATCTTGGATCAATTCTGGCCTACGCCTTCTTTGGGACAGCGGTTTCCTGCTTCATTATTGGGTAAGTCTTCCTTTGTGGTATAACCAGTCTAACATACTACCCAAAGGAATGAGATTCATCAATATAGTGTAGAAAGCAGTATTTTAATATTGTATGAGGATGGAAATTAGTATAGAGCATTATCCTGTGTAATATGGTAGTTGTTAGCTGCATGTGGACATTAAATTTAAATTAAGATGCTCAACATCCTTAGCCATCAGAGAAATGCAAATCAAGACAACTCTGAGATTCCCTCTTACACCTGTAAGAATGACCAAGATCAAAAACACTGATGACAACTTATGCTGGAGAGGTTGTGGGGTAAAGGGAACATTCCTGCATTGCTGATGTGAATGCAAGCTGGTACAGTCCCATTGGATGTCAGTGTGGTGATTTCTCAGAAAATTAGGAAACAACCTTCCTCAGACCCAGCAATACCATTTTGGGTATATAGCCAAAGGATGCTCAATCGTGCCACAAGGACATGTGCTCAACTATGTTTATAGCAGCATTTTTTTGTAATTGCCAGAACCTGGAAACAACCTAAATGCCCATCGACTGAAGAATGGATAAGGAAAATGTGGTACATCACACAATGGAGTACTACACAGCAGAAAAAAATGACATTTTGAAATTTGTGGACAAATGGATGGATCTAGAAAACATCATATTGAGTAAGGGAACCAAGATCCAGAAAGACAAATATCATATGTACTCACTCATACTTTTAGATATAAAGCAAAAAAAAAAAAAAAACAGCCTACAGTTAACAATCCCAGAGAACCTAGACAATAATTAGGAGCCTAAGAGACACACACATGGATCTAATCTACATGGGAAGTAGAAAAAGACAAGATCTCCTGAGTAAATTGGGAGTGTGGGGATCATGGGGAGGGGAGAAGTGTGGCAGGAGGAAGAGAGGAGAGGAGGGGAGCAGAGAAAATATATAGCTCAATAAAACAAAAAAATTAAGAAAAATTAAAATTAACTAAAATTACTAGATCATAATTTCTTGTAGCATTCTATGATAAAACCATAGTGTCTCTTAGTCTAGGGCAAGAACATGAAATTTACATGAAGATGGAGCATCTTTTTTCTGTTAATTTATTTTTAAAAATCCGTCTTTTCTCAGTTTACATGCCAAATCCATTTCCCACTCCTTCCCCTCCTCCTGCTCCTTCCACCTTCCCTCCACCCCTCATTCTACTCCCTGAGAGAGGGTAAGGCTTCCCATGTGGAGTCAACAGAGTCTAGCACATTGATTTGAGGCAGAACCAAGGTCCTCCCCACTATATCTAGGCTGAGCAAGGTATCCCTCCAGAGACAATAGGTTCCAAAAAGCCAGAACAAGCAGTAGGGATAAATCCTGGCCTCACTGCCAGTGGCCCCATAGTCTGTCCTAGCCATAAAACTGTCAACCACATTCAAAGGACCTAGTTTGGTCCTATGCTGGTTCCCTCACTGTCACGTTGGAGTTGGAAGTCTTCATTATTAGCTCAGGTAGATTGTTTCAGTGGGTGTCCCCATCATGGTCTTGACCTCTTTGTTCATATTCTCACTTCTCCCATTCTTCAACTGGACTTTGGGAGCTCAGCCCAGTGCTGTTGGAGCATCTTTCAATACAGAAAGTAAGCTAATGCGCAAAGGACAGACAACCATAAAGATACAAGTCATGTCAAAGGAACTCAAAAGCTAACCTGAAGTTCTCACCATAGCCAGAACCCATAAGTATCCGAAACACAACAAAATAAATAACTTTCAATTAGATTATCATACAGAATATAAAATAAATATTCCTGTGTCTATACATAGAGAGATCATTTAATGAAGAAATAAACAAGAAGAGACATTTCACATGGCAAATTGTAGTTAAGTGTTATAGATACATTCCCTTCAAATGTTAAAACTTAGTCCCCCTATCCCCACCTCTTCATTCCAAGCTAGCTTTGAGTGTGGGCTGCATGTTGTGGCTTCTTATGATGAGGATGGTACAGAAAGTAGGGAAAGAAGAGAGCATGGCAGACACTGCAAGCCTTGTTGTTATTATGTATCCTTGAGATTTGTAGGAAGAAGAGCACTTCGCCTCCCTGATCATTTACCCCAAACACATCAGCTTTATCTGGAAAAAAAGCCAGACAAATCTCAACTGAAGGGTACCCTGCAAACTTTCCGTCCAGCAGTGTTCAGAATTGCCAAGATCGTCAAAAACAAGCAGTGGATGAGAAACTGTCACAACCAAAAGGGGACCAGGAGATTTAATGACTAAATCATCTGGTAGTTTCGATGGAATCTTAGAATAGAAAGGTGATATTTTTAAAAATGTACAAGCAAATCTAAATGTAATAAGGACTTTAACAAAAAATTAGTTGGAAAACTGGTGATAAAGGCAAGGACCTTCTATTTTATTCTTTAAAAGGATGGTCTTGAAGTCTCTCCTTAATGGGGTGACAGATCACTGAAGGACACCAGGTTCTCTGGCATGCATTAATGATGATGGGAAGCAAGATGGTGGTAAGGCTGGCAGACAGAAATGTACCATGTAGGTGTAGGTTTTTACTAAAAAGGAATGGAGAAGAAAGTCTACTTTTAAGAAATATTTGAAAGGTATGAACGTGAAAACCTTTGATAAGCAGCGAAGAACAAATCATATCCATTCCATGGAGTGGTCATGGACTGAAGTTGAACTGATTGGAGCAACACCTGGGCACACACTAGGCAAGCATTAAGTTCTAGTTAATTCTTCTCATAAGGATTCCAGTCTACAGTGCAAGCAATTCTTTCACCACTAGCCAGTCCACTGTTCTAGTCACTAAAGACATAAGGGAAGACAGTGACATTGTCTTTGCTCTCACACATCTTATTAAATGGTTGGCCTTGGCCTTAGTGTACATGGAGTTAATTCTATGTTATTTTTATTCTTTTAAACCTTGCATTTGCTGTTATTATTGGTACATGCACACAGATACATACACACATGTGTAATACATGATAGGCTATTTTTCAACACTCATTACTATTTCCGATTATAATCTGCCATGTAGGAACTTTGCTCCAGCCAAACTGAAATATTGAACTTGGTGATCTCTGTTAGACCATGTCGCATTCTGCCCAATATGAGAGGGGCTATAGCTAGCCTGCCTCACCCAAATAGAGCAAGAGGCCAGATATATCAGTGGGGACACTGGTGATCTACTAGGACATTTCAAGAGGGTTGTGTCTTTACCTTCCTTGCACTACTTCTTGACGGAGATATTAGTAATATCAGTCTCTCTAGCTTCACCCAGCCCCTTAGTTTTTATGACTTGAGCTATACTATCTTATAAGTCTACATTGTAGTCATTTATTATACATTATTTGAGGCTCTACCTTCTATTCTCCTCTATCACCCAGTTGCTTGCTTAAGATCTTTTAACTTCATGACTCATCAAAGATCATACCTCACAGATGATATAGTTGTTAATGAGAACAACTTTTAAGAGTGAAATATTCAGGGATTGGGATGTAATTCAGTTAGTGCGGTTTACCTAAAATGCACAAAGCTTTGGGTGGTGGTGGGTTATAGCTGTAATTATAGCACTTGAAAGGCAGAGGCAAGAGAATCAGAAGTTCAGGGCCATCCTTGAGTGGATCAAAAGTTGAAGGTCATCCTCTGCTACATAGCAAGTCAAGGCTAGATTAGTCTAAGGGAGACTTTCTCTCAGTGCCCACCCCCATGCATGCACAAAAAAGCAACAATAACAAAAGAAGTATTTAGATACTTCTGCAAGATAATAACTATAAACCATTGTTTGGTGTCAAAGTTGTATTTGCCTAGGTTCCTGGTAAGTGTCCAACCATAGAAACTGCCCATGCTTTCCTGAATCTCCCTTAAAGTGCAATGTTCTAATCTCACTCTATTACTGTTTATATGTCAGCAAAATGTTCCCCTGACACTGTTTACCTCTCATCCTACAGAAATCTTATGTATGGGGTGGTGAAACTCATGAAGATTGTGGGCCAGCTCTCTGATAAATTTTACTACACGGATTGTCTCTTTTTTGGAGCAATTATCTCTGCCACTGACCCAGGTAATTTGACATTTGGCTTGATCATTGTGTTCCTATATTACGTAAATCTTGTAAAGTTAAGAGCAGTTATTGGCTTTTTTACAGTAGAGAGACTGTGGCATTAGATGATGGAGGAAGTGAATGGTAGTTAGATCTGCTCTACAGACCTAGTTCCAGGACAGACTCCAAAGCTACAGAGAAACCCTGTCTCAAGACATCAGAAAAAAGAAATGGAATTAATTTATAGACCTTCTCTCCTGTACCTCAAAAACAAACAAGTTAGCTTGACTCCAAGTTAGAATATATAAAGCAGAGCAGGGGACTGGAGAGATGACTCAGTGGTTAAAAGCACTTGCTGCTTGCATAGAGGACCCAGGTTTGATTCCCAGTATTCACATGGTGGCTCACAACCATCTGGAGCCCCAGTTACAGGGAAAAATACCCATACACATAAATTTTTAAAGTTTCCCAAAGTATCAGCTATTACTTTCTCTAATGTCAGCTATTACAACTGTGTTTTTTTTCCATGTCTGGATTCAGATGCAGCTTAAAAAAAATCCACATGAATATATGTATTCACACATACATATATATTCCTAAATATAATCTTCTGGGTTGATATAATGTTACTTGTATGTACGATTTCAGGGCTGTGAAAACAGAGACCATGAATTTGAAGGAGAGTAGGGATGGATATTTGGAATGAGGAAAAGGAAGGGGGAAGTGTTGTAATTAAGTTGCAGTCTCAAAAATAAAAAAAACAATTGCACATGTACTGAATGTGTAAGAGAGTTCTTTTCTTGTCTTATTCCCTAACCAATATAGTATAACAACTACTTACATAGCATTTACCTTGAATTAACTATTACAACCAGTTTAGCTATACTTTCAAATGCAACAGGGTACACATAGGTTTTATATACACTTATCATTTTATAGAAGGGACTTCAACATTTATAGATTTTGGTATCTCTGTGAAGAAGTTCCTGGAACTGATTCTCTTCACATAATGAGGATTGCCTGACTATACATCTTAGAAATAAATTGCAGAGAAAGGGTTGGTCTAGTCCTAACAATGGAGGTATAAAAATCTTGATGTTTCTGTTCTTGCTTAGATGTGCAGAAGCATGCATGTGTAAAATACTCTCTAACATTCTGAATAGTAATAATCTTTTATTTTTATTTTTTAAAAAGAAAACAAACGATTTCCGGGAATCCACAAGGATGACCCCGCCTAAGACCCTAAGCAATAGAGGAGAGGGGGCCCGAACTGGCCTTGCCCTATTGAATAGCATGGTGCTAAGACAGTTGTATAGTTGAATCTCACTGTTCTAAAATTCAATAAGTTTTTTTTTTACCACCACATATTATCATAGACTCTCTAAATAGGTATTGAAGGATTGACTGCTTGAGGAACTTGGTTTGTGAAAAGGTGAGATTGTGGAGTCTTGGCCTTTGTGTTAAGCTTTCACTGGGCCAGTCACTGATCAGCTGTCTTGGGCCCACTGTCCCTTATTCCATTGGCCATCTCATTATAAAGTAGAAGTAGTGTTCCTGTTTCTAAGGCTCTTGTGAGAATGAGATGCAGCCATGCATATAAAGCACTGAGCATAATGTTTGGTGATTATGTTGGCCTCTGTGCACATCAGACCCAGGCAGAGAGTTCTGCTTTCTTCATGTTTGTTTAAAAGATAAATAATAGATCCTCACTCCTCAAACATGCTTCTAAAAACCATCCCGAAAGGTAACTTTATTTAAATGTTAAGCTGTCTGTAACTGTGTTCAGAGAAGAATCTGTTGAGAAATAGATTCTTCATAAGCCCGAGAAGGGTGTTTACAGTGTCTGAACATATACCACTATTTATGTTTCTGTGTAACTTTATCATTATCATCTTATTAATACCATCACCAAGTAATATGAGGTGAGTGTGGTAAAGATTAGAGATATTGTTTTCTGAACTATTAGTATTGCTTCACTTAATTGGCTAAAAGGCCTATATTTCCAGATCACCTAAGTAACAGTTTATTTCCTTATAATGCATTTGTGCTATGTTATAAAATAATGGAAAGTATTACTTTTATTTGCTATGTTATAAAATAACAGAAAGCATATCATTTTTATTTGGCCTCTGAAGATTTACCAATCTAAGAGTTCCATATAAATAAAAGTTCTAGAAAATTAGAAGTTTAAACTTGTTAGATATTGGTACATTAATTTTAACTGCTTTTTGAATGGCTAGCTTTTAAAATGTAGGCTATTTGAAGTGTTTTACTAGCCTCCTAAAAATCTGTTGTTGGAAAACTGCCATAAAAGCGATTGAAACTTGAGTACAGTTAGAGGATGCTACTAAACAAACAAACAACAACAAACAAAAAAGAGCTCCATTTATGCTTCCAGTGAAGTCAGTCAATCCCTTAACCTATACATTTTACAAAACAGGTTATTTACTGGACAGCTGCGGGTGGAGGTGAGAGAAGCAAGTCTCAATCCTCTTCCCCGAGGCTAGGAGAGGGGCTGTTTAGAGATAAAGCAGCAGGGTGATTTAAGACACGGGGAAACATGGCTGGAGGTGAAGTAATCAGTGATCTAAACACATGTATAATCAATCTTCATGGGACACATGTTCAGAAAATGGTAGTGCTAATATCATGTGGGAGAAGACTAGGCACCTGCATAGGCCCAAGTGAAGACTTGGTGGTATGAACAAAAATGGCCTTGAAGTTAGTACTTTGTCTTCTGCTATTATTGTGACCTCCGTGTGAGAGATATTACCTGCATGAAACTAGTATGGGGGTGAATAACTTACAATAATATAGTTTAGTTGTGTGAATTCCAAAATTAGTGATTTTAAAACTCAACAGAGCCAGTGGTGGTGGTGGTGTTCGCCTTTAATCCCAGTACTCAGGAGGCAAGCGGAGCAGGCAGATCGCTGAGTTTGATGCCAGCTTTGTCTATAGAGCAAGTTCTAGGATGGCCAGAAGTGTTACACAGAGAATAAAAAGAAAAAACAAAACAAAACCAAAAAAAAAAAAAAAAAAAAAAAANAAAAAAAAAAAAAAAAAAAAAAAGGAAAAAAAAAACCCTCAACTGAAAGCAAGTAACTAAGTGGGAATGTGGAGGGACAGAATAGCAGAAGTCAATGTTGGTGGGCATAAAGGGAACTAGACCAACTGCACTTGTTTGATTGTTTGTATTTGGAGACAGGGTCTCTCACTGTAGCCCAGGATGGCTTAGAACTCACTTGTATAGCACAGACTGACTTCATTACTGCCTCGACCTTCTTAATGCTGGGATTACAGGTGTGAGCTAGCACATCTAGCTGTTTGCTTAATGATTAAATTTGGGGGTCTGTTCTGCGAAGTCTTGGAGACTGAAGCTTTTTGATAGTCCTGAGAATGGTTCTTTCTCAAGAAAGCCACTGAGATGGTTTTGAGCAGCAAAAGACACATATTTACAACTGTAACCACTCTTTTGATAAATGCCCATAAGTATTATGGCCGATAGAGCAAGAAGTTGGTTTTAAGGGGATAACTAGATCAGATTGGCTTTTTGTTCCTAAGTCATCAAACACAAATTTTAGTATGGAGTGGTATTGACTGGCAGGAAAAAATAAGCGTCTTATCCCTGATTATACTGTACCTGACTTAACATATCAATCTTTGGTTTTCTCATTGAAAATGGCACTATATATGTGGCGTTACAGCCCTCTTCACTTGTGGTTGGTATCATGGGATCCATATTTCATCTTTTTAGAAGGCCATTTTAGGGCCGGGCAGTGGTGCCGCACGCCTTTAATCCTAGCACTCAGGAGGCAGAGGCAGGTGAATCTCTGTGAGTTCGAGGCCAGCCTGGTCTACAAGAGTTAGTTCCAGGACAGGCTCCAAAGCTACAGAGAAACCTGTCTCGAAAAACAAACAAACAAAAAATAACAAAAAAAGGGCCAATTTAGATTGATCTGTCATTGAGGAAAGGAAATATAGGATTCTATCTTCTAGTATATCGGTAGAAAATGAGTGCTATTTCTTCTTGTGACTCAGTACGAAATGATTCTCCTAGTCTTTTTCCCCCCTTCGACACAGAGTTTCTCTGTAGCTTTGAAGCCTGTCCTGGAACTAGCTCTGTAGATCAGGTTGGCCTCGAACTCATTGAGGTCCGCCTGCCTCTGCCTCCCAAGTGCTGGGATTAAAGGTGTGTCACACAATGACCTGGCTTCCCCCAGTCTTAATTTGTGTGTACATGCATGTATGGAGGGAGTTGCTGAGAATCAAACTCTGAGCACACTAAGCAAGTGTCTCGCCCATTGAGATATACTACTAACTAACCCTGTTACCCTCCATTTTAATCCTGTTTCTTATGTATCCCTCAGAGTCAATCAGCATAGCAGATTTTAAAATCTCTGATCCAAATTAGTTGTCCAAACTAATTCTCTAGTTGTACCACTCAGTTGTCGCCTTTTGAGATGTTTCCAGTGTGCCACCTACCTGGTCACTCTTCCTAGACCTCTTTTTTTGAGACAGGATTTCTCAATAGCTGTGAAGCTAGTCCTGGAACTAGATCTTGTGGACTAGGCTGGCCTCGAACTCACAGAGATTCACCTGCCTCTGCCTCCCGAGTGCTGGGATTAAAGGTGTGTGCCACCACCGCCCAGCTATTCCTCTTTATAGCTCTTGGAATTAAGTCTATTTTGTACATAGAGATATGGGTGAGCATTCACAAATATTGAATGATATTTCATAAACAAGTGATGTGTTCAAGAAAAGTCAATTGAGTTCTCCTTATTTAGCTTCTCTAGATCCCTAATTATAGGCTCAATGTCCTTTATTTATGGCTAGAAACCAATTATGAGTGAGTACATCCCATGTTCCTCTTTTTGGGTCTGGCTTACCTCACTCAGGATAGTGTTTTCTATTTCCATCCATTTGTATGCAAAATTCAAGAAGTCATTGTTTTTTTTTTACTGCTGAGTAGTACTCTAATATGTATATATTCCATACTTTCTTCATCCATTCTTCCATTGAAGGGCATCTAGGTTGTTTCCAGGTTCTGGCTATTACAAACAATGCTGCTATGAACATAGTTGAGCATATGCTTTTGTTGTATGATAAGGCCTCTCTTGGGTATATTCCCAAGAGTGGTATTGCTGGGTCCATGGGTAGGTTGATCCCAAATTTTCTGAGAAACCGCCACACTGCTTTCCAAAGTGGTTGCACAAGTTTACATTCCCACCAGAAATGGATGAGTGTACCCCTTTCTCCACAACCTCTCCAGCAAAGGAGAACCCAAAGAAAAACATATAGGCATCCTTCTGAATATTAACCTTCATCAGGCGATGAAAGGAGACAGAGACAGAGACAGAGACCCACATTGGAGCACCGGACTGAAATCTCAAGGTCCAAATCAGGAGCAGAAGGAGAGAGAGCACGAGCAAGGAACTCAGGACCGTGAGGGNCCTTCTGCTTCTGATTTGGACCTTGAGATTTCAGTCCAGTGGTCCAATGTGGGTTTCTGTCTCTGTCTACTGTACCTATTGGTTTCGTGGGAGCCTAGGCAGTTTCGTGGAGGCTCACCTTACTAGACCTGGATGGAGGTGGGTGGCCCTTGGACTTCACACAGGGCAGGGAACCCTGATTGCTCTTTGGGCTGGCGAGGGAGGGGGACTTGATTGGGGAGGGGGAGGGAAATGGGAGGCGGTGGCGGGGAAGAGACAGAAATCTTTAAGAAAGAAAGAAAGAAAGAAAGAAAGAAAGAAAGAGAAAGAAAGAAAAAGAAAGAAAGAAAGAAAGAAAAAGAAAGAAAAGAAATGTCAATTGAATGAACAGATCAGGTTCTTAAGATGCGGTGGGATGGTCTGGTGCATACTGTATTAGTCGCTTTGCATCACTACAGGAAAATGTTGTGACACACAATAACAATTTTTGAGACTGAGTCTTACTATGTTGTCTTGGCCAGCCTGAAACCCATTGTATAGACCAGGTTGGCCTCTAACCCATTGAGGTCCCCCTGCCTCTGCCTCTTGAGTGTTGGGATTAAAGGCATGTGACACTGTACATAACTAATAATATTTTTTATAAAAATAAATACCCACGAAAGATATTTCTGGAAGAATTGACCCATTCCCCAAAGAGGAACTGCTGGGGCTATTGAGTTTGATTGACATGTCATTAAAAGAGGAAGACAGATTGAATTCTAGTTGGGGTGGGATGGAAAATGCTGGAATCAGTGGATTTCAGAAAGTATTGGGGAAAGGGTCATATTTATGAGTTGTTTGTAGCTGCTGTGAGAAAATTCCATAGCTGACGGTAAAATAAGGAAGACAGAGTTTATTTTCGTGTATGGTCCTAGAGTGACAGAGTCTGTTGATGTTGGGATTGCATGGCATGGTAGCAGGAGCAGGAAGCTGGATAATTGCATTTTCTTTCTTTTATATTCGCATGTGCACCCAGGAAGTTGGGAGGGGAGAAGTGGAACAAGCCAGCAAACCTTCAAAGTTTGCTGCCCCAGTGATGTATTTCCAGCAAGGTTCCACCTGCTAAAGGTTCCATAGCCTCCCCCAAACCACCATCTGGATACCAAGTATTTAAATACACGAGCCTATGGAGGTCATTCTCATTCATTACACTGCATCAGAAAACGGAACCCATACACTAACCTTGCCACACCTTCATTAAATATAAGCAACACTGGCAAGTTGAGGTTGAATAGCATGTAAACCTAAGGAAAAATGAAGTTAACTCCTTGAATAAGAAAACTACAGGAAAGAGGTTAGACTATGAAAATATGACTCCATCCTAACGGATGCAACTTTCTTCTGATTCCAAAAGATGCTAAGGTGAATTAAGAGAGTGATGGACAACCTGGTGTAGCTTCTATCCCAGTACTTGGGAGACAGAGGCAAGTAGTTTTCTATGAGTTCAAGGTCAATCTATATAGTGAGATCCTATCTTTATTATTATTACTATAGATATATTATCTATAGGTATTATCTGTATTATCTATAATAATGTAGATATATTACTACTACTACTACTACTAATAGCCAGGCAATAGTGGTGCACACCTTTAATCCCATGATTCAGGAAGCAGAGGCAGGTGGATCTCTGTGAGTTTGAGGCCAGCCTGGTCTACAGAGTGAGTTTCAGGACAGCCAGAGCTACACAGATAAACCCTGTCTCAAAAATCCTCCCTAACAGAAAGTAATAGGCATTACAAAAGAGCTGTCTTATGCCCCTGGCTTGGAAGAACTGAAGAACTAAATCATAAGGCACCTTGAGAAAAGAGCTCACAGAAGGGGATCAAGGAGGAACCTAGCAGAGAGAAAGAGGCTACTTTAAAGTCCATTTTCTTTAAAATGGGCAGACTGCAATGATAGTTTCAGACAGTGTGTGTTTGGGTTATTAAACTATAAAGAAAGGGGGAAAGTCACTGTAAAATTCACACAATGGTTATTTTTGAGTGAAGGGGGCTTGAGATTGGGATGGAACACATGTATATGAAGGGGGCTGGCAAATTCTTGGATTGGTAAGCAAACTGACTTTCTTCTAATTACTCACTGAACTAAGCATTTGGTTTGGTGTTCTATTTCTCTAAGTAGTAGTACTTTTGGCTACAAATACCAGAAAACCTGGCTGATGCAAGCTTAAACAAAATTAGATGTTTATCTTGAATCCCACCCGTGGCCTGGTACCATGAGTTCTCTCCTAGCTGGGAGCACCTAGGACCTTCTTAATCTTTCTACTATATTACTTTGGGTTTCAGTGGCACTTCCATTGCCTTGTGGAGGTAAGCTGGATGCATGTGTCTTTCTCTATCATCTTCTGCAGATAGAGGCCAGGGATATGGTACACAGGTCAACCCCCACAGCAAAGCAATTATCTGGTCCCAAATACGAGTAAGGCTGAAGTTGAGAAACCATGTTCTAGCAGTAAGTCTCAGTGTGTATGAACTGAGAATACTTGGGGTTCCCCAAAACCCTTTCAAGGGGCCCATCAGGTTAAAACTGATTTCATAATAACAGCAGTACCTTATTTTTCTTTTTATTCTCATCTTTCCCACATGTACAGTGGAGTCTTCCAGAGGCTTCAGAAGAACATAGTATTATTATCTGTCCCTTAGATATAGAAACAGCTGTGAGAAACATCTGATAATCCAAGAGTTTAAAGGGATTCCCTTTTTCTTTCCAGATTTTTATTTCAGAAAGTGTAGTTTTTATTAAAATATTTCATGTTAGTATGTAAAAGTTATTATTTAAGTATTACTAATTTCATGCTGTATTCAATAAATATCAGTATTAGGAGCACAGATCTTAGAATATAAAGGAGTTTAGAGGTTAAAAGTTTCAGATATTGATCCAGAGAATCATTGGTTTTTAAATGCTTCAGAAATGTGAAAACTGGGAGAAGTGTAATAATTATGGCCCGGGCATGGCAGTGCATGTCTGTAATCTCAACGTTCAGGGGACTGAGGCAGGAGGGTTGTAAGTTCTACGACAGCCTGGGCTATTTAAAAGACCCTTTCTTAGTTATTTATTCCCTAACAAGTATAATTACAGGTGATTTGTCATGGAGAAAGCCTTTATCAGTCTATTTTACACCCTGACTCTGTGCTGAGTTCTGGGAGTACTAAGGTTAAAAAAAAAAAAAGGATCTCTATCTTCAAAAAATTGCCAACCCACAAAAAGAGACAAGTTACATAAGTGGCTCTACCCCGCCACCCCCCAATTTCTATACAAGGTATTTTCAGTATGTTGACGGTATTAGGGCTGTGTACTTTGGCACAGACAGCAGTGTACTTAGGTGCAGGGGTCATCAGACTCAATGATCACATCAAACCTCATCTAGATTAGAAGCTTAACATTTTCCCTTTTATCATTTACTAGACAGACTATTACTGGCTACCAAACCACCTTGTACCATCTAATAGACAAATAGCCTCTGTAAACCTGCAATCTGTAGTTTGACGGCAGAAGCCAAAACTAATTTCTATGCTTTGGGCCTCTATTTCAGTGACTGTGTTGGCAATCTTTAATGAGCTGCATGCAGATGTGGATCTTTATGCTCTTCTGTTTGGAGAGAGTGTCCTGAATGATGCTGTTGCCATTGTACTGTCCTCGTAAGTAACTGGTTCTGGAGGGAGGTGGGGTAGGGGTAGGATAATGTTTCTGGCTTTGTCCCTTAGCAGCATTCAGGATGCTGGTGCCAGCATAGCATGGTGGCTGCAGCTTAAATTAAATGGAGTTGCTCTGGGCAGTGCTTGTTAGACTCCATGTTTGTTGTTATTTTCAGTTCCAGTGAGTCTCCTTATCCCTCGGGGATAGTTTAAGACCCCTTGTGGATGCTTGAAACCATACTGAACCCTGTTGATGATTTTCACATACATACAAATACATATCTATAATAATAAAGTTCAGTATATAAATTAGACAAGTGGAAAGTTAGCAATAGCTAATATTAAAGTAGAACGATTAAAATAATGTTTCAGTTGTAATAAAATTGTGCAACAGCTTACTCTTTCAAAATACTATTGAACTTTTCACTAACGTAATAAATATTTTATGACTTCTCTTGGGCAGATCCAAATTTTCAGCAACACTACTTTTCTCGTTGGAAACGTTATTAAGTAAAATAAAGGTTGTTTGAACGGAAATGCTATAGTCTGATAACCTCAATAGTTTCTAGTGGACTAATAGTCAGTTAGCATATACCACGTGGCTATATTAGTGAAAGTAGTGATTCATGTCATGGACAGGATCCGACTGAATGGTTGGAGATTTCATCATGCTGTCGAGAACAGTATATAATTTAGAACTTATAATTAGTTTATTTCTGGATTTTTCTATTTCATGTTTTTAGTTTGAGGTTGACCTCAGGTAACTAAAACCACAGAAGGTGAAATAGTGAAGGAGGGTCGGGACTGTTTAGTGTGTCGTGATGTAAAACCAGTGTGGTCATCTTTTCAAAAATAAAAACAAAAACAAAACTTTCTCTCTCTTTGTTTTTAAACTCCAGGTCTATTGTTGCCTATCAGCCAGCAGGACTAAATACTCACGCTTTTGATGCTGCTGCCTTTTTTAAGTCAGTTGGCATTTTTCTAGGTATATTTAGTGGCTCTTTTACGATGGGAGCCGTAACTGGTGTTGTGACTGCTTTAATATCCTTTTAAAAAAAGTTTTGGTCCCTGCCTGGCTACACATACATGATATTGTGTTTGCAAAGAGAAAGTTCTCAGTTCCTTCTTTCAGCTCAGAATCTTAAATTAATTGTTCTGAGATGTGGTACTTCCTCATCTGGGTCAGGCACAGTGATTGGGCCCCTAGTAATAATCTGAGAAAAGACTGGGAAATTGGACTCTGAGAATTACAAAAGAAGAGGTATTGAAAATAGGGGTGGGGATATGTTGAGGTATCTGAAGTGGGATGTAGGGAGTTGGGGTACATATGATCAGAATACATTGCTAGCATGCATGAAATTGTTAAAGAATAAGTAAAGCAAATTTTCCCAAGAGTGTGGAAGAAGGAAACATAAGATATAATAAATAAAGATGGGGAATTCAACTCTAGATTTTGCTTTGTCCTTACCTTTGCTTCTTCTTTCCCTTCTTTATAACCCAGTTGGAACACCAATTATAGGGATGAAGAGACTGAGGAACCCAGAGGAGGCTTGCAGTCAGTGACCATTGGTCAGGCTGTACTTTAGCTTCTGGTTACTGGTGCTGTCTGCTATTCAGGGACTGTGAACATTAAGGTAGCTATAACTAACCCAGAGTAATTGGTGAGAATTATTGAACTTTCCACTGTGTCTTCCATGACAAAGGATAGTATGATATTTAGTTTAAAATAACCAAACATAAAGAGAAAACCATGGAAAGAGCTTGCAGTCCCTCTACATATGTGCTGAAACCTCCATCACAGTACTCTCTTTGATTGGCATTACTAATGAATGTAATACAAACCACATCCATTTTATGTGTAACCAGTATAGATAATATGGAAAATTATTAGTGAGTTTTTTTATTTTAGTCTTTGAGATATGTATCCTTTGCTCTTTGCAAAATCACAGCTATGCCTAACTACATTTTAAATGTTGAGAGTAGCTAGCAGCTACTTTGTTATAAAACACACATCAAGCTAGCTTTGTTTAAAGGCCCTGGTACTGAGGGCTTAATTGCTCAGTGAACTTGCTTGTGAGTTGCTTCTGTGTTGATGGCATATTGAATGGTTGTGATAGGAGGAAGAGTCCCTTTGTTCTCAAAAGGAGACCTCAGGACTTCATTGCTGTTCCAGGAATTATAGATTTCTTTTTTTTTTCTGTTCCATACATGGGTCAGGCCTTAATCATGGAAATTAGAGCCTTAAGAGCCTGTCTTCCCAGATCTGCCTAAGGCCTTCCCAGTCCTATGAGAACTAACCTGTCAGTCAAGCCTGCAGCCAGAAATTTATTCTTAGAATCATAGTACTTCATTTCCTATAGAGTTCACCCATTTAAAGCATGCAACTCAATTGTTTTGCATTCCTTATGTCATTAATTTTTAAAATCATGGTAATATATAATAAAATTTGCCTCAGTACACAGTTTAAAGTAAGTACAGGAACCAACAAAATGACTCAACAGTTACGTAAGGAGTTTTTCCACCAAGCCTGATGACTTGAGCTTGATTCCTGGAACCCACATGGTAGAAGAAACTACTCCCTACGGGTTGTCCTCTGACTTTCACTTGCCTGCTTAGCAGGCACGTGTCCCCCCTCTTACACACACACACACACACACACACACACACACACACACACACCATTTTAAGTTATTAAATACACATTTTAAGTTTTTAAATACATTCACCGTGTTGATTATCCCTTCCTGCTGCCTGTTTCCAGAATGCTATTCCTCATCTCAGACACAAACTCTGTACCAATTCAACAACAACTCTGCACTCCAGCTCTGACTCTGGTAACCTGTATTCTACTGTAAAGTTTCTTTTATTTTGTATGGTGGTGGGGTGATCAAACCCAGGACTACAAACATGCTAGGCAAGTGCTTACTATTCAGCTACACCACCAGCCCTCGGAAAGCTGATATTTTTAAAATTTTGTTACTTGAAAATTGAGCTCAGGGCTGGAGAGATGGCTCAGCAGTTAAGAGCACTGACTGCTCTTCTGAGAACCTGGGTTCAATTCCCAGCACCCATATGGCAGCTCAACTCTGTCTGTAATCCCATTTCCAGGGTATCTGACACCCTCACACAGATGTACATGCAATCAGAACACTAATGTACATACAATAAAAATAAATAATTTAAAGAAAGAAGTAAAATTGAGCTGTGTGTGGTGGCACATACCTTTAATCCCAGCACTTGGGAGGTAGAGGCTGGTAGATCTCTGAGTTTGAGGCCAGCCTGATCTACAGTGTGAGTTCCAGGCCAGCCAAGGCTAATTAAAGAAACCCTATCAGGAGTGGGGGGGGGGAGAGGAAAAGGAAGAAAGAAAAAGAACAAACAAAGCATGTGTGGCAGAGTGGTTGAGAACCAGCCTAGCATGTTCAGGGCTCTTAAGTTCCATCCCGACACTGTAACATTTAAAAAAGAGAGATAAAACTCCCTCCAAGGAGGTGTAGGGGATGGGTGGCCTTTTGAGAGGGCCAAAAGAATGGGGACTTCAAGTGTCCCTGCTGCCGATGCCCAGAGCTGCTGTCCTTAACCTGGTGCTGACGTGACCAAGTTTACTAAGCTGCACTGCTTCCCCCTGCTGGAGACAGCGCTCTTTTTCCTGATGTCCTGGAGCACGTTTCTTTTGGCTGAAGCCTGTGGATTTACAGGTAGGTTTACTGCTGGTCTCAGCAGAGCCTGTAAGAGAGGAAGAGGGGAGGTAGGCTGTATGGGTCACCTGCTGTAAATTGTCTTGTCAGTTGAATTTTTTCCTTGCCTCTTCTTTCTCACTGATTTTTAGCAACTCTTTTGACAGGTGTTGTAGCTGTTCTTTTCTGTGGGATTACACAGGCTCATTATACATACAACAATCTGTCAGTAGAATCAAGAAGTCGAAGCAAGCAGGTAAGAGAGGCCCTTGAGCCTGATGGACTGCCAGGTAGCACAGCAGGAGGACTGCAGAGTTCATGGCCTCCTCTTTCCTTCTTCATGCAGCTTTTTGAGGTGTTACACTTTCTGGCAGAGAACTTCATCTTCTCCTATATGGGCCTAGCACTGTTCACCTTCCAGAAGCATGTTTTCAGCCCCATTTTCATCATTGGTGCTTTTGTATCCTTTTCTCATTTATTCCACATTGTAGACAGAGAGGTGACCTCTGTATAACCACTAAGAATAACCATTTGATTACCATCTCTGTTTTGAATGGATAAGCGGGTCAGTTCTAGTTCAGGATACTTGGGGGGAAATTCTTAAAGCAGAATGTATTTCATTTCAAGTCTGGCTTTTTTTCTGGTGTTTTCTGTTCTAATTTAGTGCTTGACAGGCTATCATTTGTTTTGTAGAGCTCTGTCCCGAGTACATCTAAAAGTCAATAACCCTGTCAGTCCCCACAATTATTTTTAACATGTCATTGCCATGTTAATGTAACCCAGGCAGTTAGTTCCCTGATTTTAGTGACTAGAAGGTTCTAATCCTCTTGCTGTCGGCTGCATAGTCCCACTTGGCTAGCTCTACCCCCATGCTGCCCTCACATGGGAGTAGACAGTGACCATGCCCTCACATGGGAGTAGACAGTGACCATGCCCTCACATGGGAGTAGACAGTGACCATGCCCTCACATGGGAGTAGACAGTGACCATGCCCTCACATGGGAGTAGACAGTGACCATGCCCTCACCCAAGCTGCCCTGCTGCTGTGGTTTATTCTCAGAGAGACTCCTTTGGTTTGCTAAAACAAGAAGGAAGGGAGGTTTGCAAAGAGGGAAAGAGGAAATAAAAGAACAGATAAAAATAATGGATAAGATTAGAGGGAAAGAGGAAGGAGAAAAGAGAAGAAAAGACAAAATAAAATATGTAGTTCTTTGACTTTGGCTGTTGAGAATACAGTGTTTAGAGAGGGGACATTTTGGATGCTTGACTTAGAAAGGACGGATGTTACTTGAGAGAACAGGATAGTCGAGATAGAGGAAAGGCAGAGATGAGAGCAAGGAAAGAGATATTTTAATTGAGGGAGCCACTTTGGGGCTAGCAAGAAACCTGGCACTAGAGAAATTCTCAGGAATCCACAAGGATGACCCCAGCTAAGACCCTAAGCAATAGTGGAGAGGGGGCCTGAACTGGCCTTGCCCTGTAGTCAGATTAATGAGTATCTTAAATATCACTATAGAACCTTCATCCAGCAATTGATGGAAACAGAGGCAGAGACCCGCAGCGGAGCACTGGGCTAAGCTTCCAAAGTCCAGTTAAAGAGTGGGAGGAGTGAGAATATGAGCAAAGAGGTCAAGACCATGATGGGTTCACCCACTGAAACAATCTACCTGAGCTAATGGGAGCTCACCAACTCCAGGCACAGGGAAAGAACAAGCATAGGACCAAACTAGTCCTTCTGGTAGTGGTTGACAGTTGCATGGGTGGGGCAGACTGAGGGACCACTGGCAGTAGCACCAGGATTTATCCCTTCTATTTGTACTGGCTTTTGGGAAACCTATTTTCTTTGGATATATACCTTGCTCAGCCTTGATATAGTAGGGAGGGCCTTGGACCTTCCCCAAAGCCATATGCCTTACCCTCTCTGAGGAGTGAATGGGAGTTTGGGGGACAGGTAGAGGGAATGGGAGGAGGGGAGGAAGTGGGAGCTGGGATTCATATGTATAATGAAAAAAGATAGTTTGTTTTCTTTTTTAAAAAATAAAAAGGATAGTACAACCAAAAAAATAAAATAAAAAAAGAGAAACAAAAAACAAAAAGGGCGGATGTTGAGTACCTAGCAATGGCTCAGTGGCCAAGGGTTTGACTCACTTGGTGTTAGATACTATTGATTTCATTAAAGTAAGCTTTTCTGGCCCTGGATTTCAATATTCTATCCTCATTGTTGGACATTTGCTCTTTCTTTCTTTCTTTCTTTCTTTCTTTCTTTCTTTCTTTCTTTCTTTCTTTCTTTCTTTCTTTCTTTCCTTCCTTCCTTCCTTCCTTCCTTCCCTCCCTCCCTCCCTCCCTCCCTCCCTCCCTCCCTCCCTCCCTCTCTCTCTCTCTCTCTCCTCTTCTCTTTCTTTCTGCCTTTTTTAGGCCTCCTGGGATTCCTTAACTCTTAAATGTTGTCTTCAAAGAGTATTTTTTTCCTTTGGGATGTTCATTTCATGTGCAAGAATGTGGGGGCTGTCCCTTCTTGACTGCTCGAGACTGACAGTGCTGGAACCCTAGTTTAGGATCTTCGTAATGGCTTCACACTAGAGGAACAGCTTAGAATCTGGTAGATTAGTTTTTCTTCACTCAGACTTAGCTTGTTGCTCTGCTTTGTATTTCCTGCACGTCATAGTGGAGGAGATAGTGGAGGAAGGCCTTGTTTATAGAACAGGGCCTGTTGGCTGGGTGAGCCACATCCTCTGGAAATCCTAAAGGCTGCTGACCACTTGAGGACTTTTCCTTCACCTCTGAGCTAGAATATGCTTTACAAGCACTACCCGTTTCCCTTTGTTAAAAACAAAACCAAACAAGGAAAGGAAGAAAGACAAAAAAGCAGGAAAACAGTTTACACTTTACCCTGGAGGAAGCTAGTTTGGCTCTGGTTTCTGTCTGAAACAGCTGTGGCTCTTGCAGCTGGTGCATTGCTTGGCGGAAGCTCTCTATTTGCTGGCTCCTGCTTGCGTTTCCTTCTCTGACCAGGGGATTGTGCTGCTCTCTCTGTTGGGTGCTGTTTAAACTTGGCAAGGAAAAGATAACTGGTTTCTCTGAATTCTTTGCTTTCACGGTAGAGTTCGTTTTTCACATTCATCCTTTTCTACTTCTAACATCCCCAAAGGTCATTTAAGCTACATAGGAGAAACTTTCTCTGAGTTCATTTGTGTGAGTGAATGTCTCTTTGTGGTAAGACTACTTGAGGGTTCCTCACATCTATTTTTGTGTGCTCCCTAGGCATTGAAGTCCCTAATGTTTTCTTGTGAATGAAACTTGCTGGCTCTTTCCCTCTAGTAGAGCCCAACATAGTATGTGCCTTGTCCAGTTCTCAATCTTATGGTACTTTAGATTACTTCTGGAGTTAGTTTTAGAGAAATTGGCAAGCCTGTCAATTGAACCAGTTCAATTCAGTTCAAAAGTTACAACCATGTGTTGATAAGCTGTATAATGAACCAAGAAGTGGGAAAGTTGACCAAATGACTGCCATTTTGTTGCTGAGAGATTTGCGATGGGGGAGTCCAGGCATTCTGACTTCTTTGGGCAGCCCTGCATCACAGCACTGCCAAAGTTCTGTGCTCAACCAGAGTATTTGAAGTGCCATTCTGGAAACGTGTGGGCTCCTTAACCTCGCCTGGTGGTCAGGTTGCCATCTTCCTGGGCAGAGCTGCGCATATCTACCCTCTCTCCTTCTTCCTCAACCTGGGCAGAAGGCACAAGATTGGTTGGAATTTTCAACACATGATGATGTTTTCAGGTAAAATATATTTATATAATAGATAAAGAAAATAAATTTTATTTAGCAAACAATGATAATATGACTAAAATATAAACAACTTGGCTTTAAAGCACACATCTGTAATTCCAGACTAAGAAAGGGGGAGGCAGAAGGATCAGAAGCTCAAGGTCATGCTTGGGTACATATTGAGTTTGAGGCTAGCTTGGGCTAAATGAGACCCTGTCTCAAGATCCTGTTACACATCAACCTATCTTTCTACTCTTCCGTGTGGTACCCCTTCTTTTACTAAGAAAAATACTGCCCTGCTTTCCATAAATGTACAGTTTCACACATTCATAGTCAGCCAACATTTCTGCTGACTGTGTGGTATTCGGATAGAAGACTTAGAGCTTGTTATTATGCAAGCTTCTTTTTCTTTTAGGTCATTAGGAGAAGATTCATTTAAATAATAAGAGCGGTTAGTATTCTGCCATACAAAGTGGTGCTGTTTTTCTTCTTATGCTGGGAATTCTGTGCAAGCCAGCTTCAAAGGGAAGAAGACCATACACCTTTAAGGTGCTTCTACCTGGCTTAAGCAGCTGGGCTCCCAAAGCATATGGCTAGGGTTCTATTATCCCCACAGTGGCAGTGCATTCTGAAGAATTGTCACCAGGTTCCCACATCACCAGAAGATCTTCCTGTTTGGTCCCATAGGCCTGAGGGGAGCAATGGCATTTGCACTTGCCATCCGTGACACGGCATCCTATGCCCGCCAGATGATGTTCACAACCACGCTGCTCATTGTCTTCTTCACTGTATGGGTCATCGGTGGAGGTACCACACCAATGCTGTCATGGCTCAATATAAGGTCAGTTTGAAACCAAGCCAATTTTGCGTCCAAATGTGTCAGTTGTCATAATTCTTGAGAACGCTCAAGGTGCTGTGCAGGCTGTGCTTGTGAAAGATTTTCATTCTTTTGGTTTAAGCAATGTGTGTGTGGGGGAGGTGTTTTAGATTTTTTTTAAATTAAAATTTAGAGTATTGGGATTTTTCAGGATACAAAATTGTCATTGAATTCTAAAAAAATCGAAAATAGGATTATCAGTACACACAGGAAACTAGGATGAGCTGGCCCTTACTAACAGAGAAGAAACTCTGTAGCCAGCAACCAAAAGAGGCATGTAGAGTTTCGCTTTCTTAGGATTTTGTATGCAGTGCCTTTTCTTGCTTCTGTGCAAAAAAGAGATGGCATTTTCTTTTTTTTAATTTTCTTTCTTTCTTTTTCTTTTTTTTTTTTTTTTGGATTTTCGAGATAGGGTTTCTCTGTAGCTTTTGGTTCCCCTGGAACTAGCTCTTGTAGACCAGGCTGGCCTCGAACTCACAGAGATCCGCCTGCCTCTGCCTCCCGAGTGCTGGGATTAAAGGCGTGCGCCACCACCACCCGGCTTTTCTTTTCTTTTTTGAGCTTTTTTTTTATTATTAAAAATTCCACCTCCTCCCTTCCTCCCATTTTCCTCCCACTCTCCCCCCTCCCTGCCCTCTCCAGTCCAAAGAGCAGTCAGGGCACCCTGCCCTGTGGGAAGTCCAAGGCCCTCCCCCTTCCACCCAGGTCCAGGAAGGTGAGCATCCAAACAGACTAGGCTCCCACAAAGCCAGTACATGCAGTAGAATCAAATCCCAGTGCCATTATCATTGGCTTCTCAGTCAGCCCCCATTGTCAGCCACATTCAGAGAGTCCAGTTTGATCACATGCTCGTTCAGTCCCAGTCCAGCTGGCCTTGGTGATCTCCCATTAGATCAGCCCCACTGTCTCAGTGGGTGGGTGCACCCCTCGTGGTCCTGACTTCCTTGCTCATGTTCTCCCTCCTTCTGCTCTTCAACTGGACCCTGGGAGCTCAGTCCAGTGCTCCAATGTGGGTCTCTGTCTGTATCTCCATCCATCGCCGGATGAAGGTTCTATGATGATATTCAAGATATTCATCAGTGTGGCTATGGGACAAGACTAGTTCAGGTACCCTCTCCTCTGATGCTGCCCAAGGACCTAGCTGGGGACATCCCCGTGGACACCTGGGAACCCCTCAAGAGCCAAGTCTCTTGCCAACCCTAAAATGGCTCTTTTAATGTAGATATCTTCTTCCCTGCTCCTATATCCACCCTTCCTCCATCTCAACCATCCCACTCCCCCAAGCTCTCCCCAATCCTCCCCTTGTCCCTTCTCTCTCCCCCTCTCCCCTTCCCTCATCCCACCCCCACCCCATGTTCCCAACTTTTGCCTGGCGATCTTGTCTACTTCCAATTTCCAGGAGGATAAATATATGTTTTTCTTTGGGTTCACCTTATTGTTTAGTTTCTCTAGGATCACGAACTATAGGCTGCAATTCTAATGCTTGGGAAGTAGAGTCAGGAGAATTAAGGGAAAATAAAAAATCAAACTCAGGTCAACATCCCTCTGTTATTTGTTAGATAAAGCTACAGACTACACACAAAAGATGTCATGGGGCTATATAACAGATGAAAGTTACATAGAAAATGCCATATCCATCCATTTTGGTATGTCTCCCCCCCCCACCCCTACCCCAGACTGTCTTAGGGTTTCTATTCCTGTGAAGAGACTTCATGACTACAAGTAATGCAAATGCCTGAAGAGTCACTCTCCAAAGAGCCACAAGGTGGCAGTATATCTTTCTCTATTGGTCTTTAGTTTGTTTTCCCTCTAGAATGTAGAATGCCAAAGACAGCTGGAGCTCCTACACATTTCAGAGGAAAGAAGCGGGATTTGAGAAAATGGCCTCTTCCACCTGAGGCTTTTATACTAATGGTATAATGGTAGGCAGGGATTCCTGGGTTTGGCCACTGCCAGCTATGCCTTTTCTGGGCTAGTATGTCTCAGTCTGCAGATCAAGGCTTCTTGGTGACAGTCAGGGTCCTCAGTCATGCTTGCATTGCAGGTTCCATTTGCATTTCCATGCCTATGTATTAAGATATGGTTCTCAGAACATTCCCATAGTGGAGATAATACTGCAATCTCTATTGTCGAGTTGGGGAAATAAGACCCAGGGCAACGATTTGACTGCAGGTAGCAGAGTATTAAGAAGATGAGGTGGATTGGAATTCAGGAAGTCTTCCCAAGACTTGCTCACTGTGCCTTCCATCTATAAGAAGGGTTGTGATGCTAAAGACTGCCTTCCGCATAAAATTTGGAGTGTTTAGAATTTCAACTTCCTAGCATTAATACTAAAGGTTGGATTAAATAACACAGTCTATCCTTGAGAATATAAACCTGAAGAAAGAAATTTTAATTCTGTGACATTCAACTTGAGACATCAGATAGTACTGTCTTTGTTTTTTTGTGGTGGCATGAGGCTAAGACAGGTGGTTGATCCTGGGTATAATTGCAGGGTATAATTGACCTGTGAAGTTACTTTTTGCCAGATGAAGATTTTTGTAATAGAGATGCTCATTTTGTATAGAAAATTGTCAGGCAACAAATAAAATTTCATAACCTCCTCAGACTCTTTGATATTTGTATTTATCGTGGGCTTTTGAAAATACTGAACAATACTATGTAGCTTATCAGGGGTTTTTGGAAACTTTGAAGACTATTATGATTTCTTTCTCATTCTACTCATAAAAATGTATTTTATATATTCAGAAAACATTCACACTTATGCCTAACTTTATATGAATAATTTAAAGCAGATATCTAAATGCTTATCATTTTTTGTTATTCCCAGGAATTGTAATAAGCTGCATAAGAACATAGGCTTCAAAGATGCATTAAAAACCGTAACTCACCATCATGTAACTAAGAACAAAGGCAATGGTTTCAAGCATGCTAGGCAAGTGCTGCACCAGTGAGACACGTCCTCATTGTCTAACCTCTGTAATTCTTTCCTTACCTACAGAATACTTATAACATCACAAATATATGCACGAATATTTAATTGGTGTTTGAAAATGTTGTTCCAAGACTCTCTATGAATAATAAACCCTAGAGATGCTCAAGGCCCTTATAAAAATGGGGTATTTGTTCAGAACCCATGCCCATCATCTTAAATACTTTAAGTGGTCTCTAAAAGCCTTTATTTCCTACAATGTAAATGTTATGTAAACAACTGTAGTGCCACATTGTTTGGGGAATCATGACAAGAAAAAAGGTCTATATGCTCAGTACAGAAGCAATTTTGGGGGGGGGATATTTTTAATTTGGGATTGATTGAATTCCCCGCCCCCCCCATACATAAGGAGGGCCAACTGAACACACAAAACCAAGAGGCATTACCTGTTGGACATAGTGAATGATCACAAAAGGACTCTTCAAGCAAGAACTGCTGGTTAGCAGACAGCTAATAAGCAACATTTTGTAATTTTCTCAGACTCTGCGATATTGGTATTTATCGTGGGCTTTTGAAAATATTGAAGAATATTATATAACTTATCAGGAGTTTATGCAAACTTTGAAATCTGTCATAATTTCTCAGCCTATTCATAAAACTCACTTTTATAGGTTCATAAAATATTCATATTTATGCTTAATTTTATATGAGTAATTTAAAGTGGCTCCCTAAACTATATAAAAATCCTAGCCCCCTCAGGAATTGTCTGGTCACTCTGTCCCCTGACTATTCAGGACCAGATTAAATCATGTGCATTTCATATGTCCTTTTCTTTTTTTTCAACTCATAAGCATATCTGGTACAAATAGAACCAAGTGATTTTCCACTGAGAGTAGAGAGTTGACTTTTTTGCACTTCCTCATGACCTTTTCAAAATGTGGGCCATGAAAACAGTCCTTCCCAGAGCTGAATGTGTGGGCAGCTTTCTGAGAAGCATGTGATGGCTCAACTCGACTGGAGTTGGTAAGAAGTGAGCAATTCTGTTGAGCAGAAAACCAACAGTTCCTGTAATACTTCTTTTCTGCTTTCTATCTGTCTACTTTTTGTTCCCTTCACCATGCAATTTTGTCATATTATCCATAGATAATATATAGAAATAAAAATCTTTGGAGGATCGGTGATCAAAACTCGATATTATTAGTATTTTAGAAAAGATTCAGTTTCACTTTTCTTCATTGGTAATGACATATGAGTTTTTTGAATTGTCAAATTTGGAGAAATCTCTCTCAAGTTTCTTTGACATGTGAGCCAGAATATTTATGCTTCCGTGTGCTTCCATCTTGCATAATTGTATCGTATTGCAGCCATGACCCGAAGTAGCGCATGTAGTTGTTTTTGTTTTTTTGGGACAGGATTTCTCTGTGTAGCCCTGGCTGTCCTGGCACTTGCTCTGTAGACCAGGCTGGCCTCAAATCACAGAGATCCACCTGCCTCTGCCTCCCAAGATTAAAAGTGTTCTCCACCTCCACCCAGTTTACATATAGGTTTTTTGTAAGTACCACTGTGTTCAAGGTAAAGAGCTGCTCCAATACAAAGGCGTCATCTCAGCTCCATCCTTTATCACATTCACGTCCTATCCTTACCAATCCCTTAGTCCAACACCCTCAAATTTGTTCTCCATCTCCATACTTTTGTCATTTTGATAATTAAGGAGCTCAAATCATAGCATATGATCTTTTGAGATTGGCTTTTTCTTCGATTCAGCATATGCCTTGAAGAGATCCATGAAGGCCATTGTACATGTCAATTGTTTGTTTCTTTTTGTTTCTGGATAATACTCTATGACATGAATGTATCAGGGCTTGTTTAATCATTCACATCTTAAAGGTCATTTGCTTAGTCTCCAGTTGATGACTATTATAAATAAAGCTATTGCTAGCATTTCTGGGTAAGTTTTTATATCAGTATAGACTTCCATATATCTAAGATACATGTCCAGGACTATGCTTGCCAGATGAGATAGTAAATGCAT